TATATATATATATATATATATATATATATATATATATATATATATATATATATATATATATATATATATATATATATATATATGTATATATGAAAAAGAAAAAGGAAAGTCTATAATACAAATAAACAAAAGAGAAAAAAAAATGAAACTTTTTGGAAAAATCACACATAATCTTTCATCCAAGGTGGACGTTTTATATTTCTGCGAGGTTGGCCTGCTGAAGTTTCCACTTCTGAAATCTCTCTGTGAGTAGAAAAATCTTCTATCTAATGCTGGGGAGTTTTTTGTTCAGGTGAAACTGAATCCACCCCATGACCAGTTGGAAGCACGGTGTCAGATGCAGCCATATCCTTAGCTGGAATAAAATGTTTGAAACAACTAGAGTCTCGAGTCAGCCTAACACCATCTTGAGAATCAACTGTCACCACATTTCCGGATTTTTGAACTACTTAGATTGGAATGGGGTGATATGTAGGTGACAACTTGTTTGTTTTAATGTCAGAAACTAAGAACTGAGAACTAAATCGTTTTTCGAAAACTCTTTGTATGCTGCTCCACGTTTATCATCTGCATATTCTTTAACTTTCAACTTATTAAGCGTGCCTCGATCTTTCACTTCCTCTCTATTTGCTAATTCTCTGGAAAAACCAGGAGGTTTATCCCTGATTTTTCGCCCAAAGAACAGTTCTCCTGGTGGTACTCCGGTAACAGCCTGTGGTGTGACATGATACTGGAATAGGTAACGCTGCAGTTGCTGCTTCCAGTCCTCCTTGGTCAACCTTGCCAATTTAAACATCTTCAGAATAGTTATATTTTGTCTTTCAACAGCTCCATTGACTTGTGGCCATTAAAGAGGAGAATGGTATAAATTAATATTGTTGGAATGACAAAACTGCAAAAACTCATTGGAAGTGAACTTTTTCCCATTGTCAGCAGTAATGGATTCCGGCAGGCCAAATCTACTGAACAGTTTTTCTAACTGTTCTATTGTCTTATTCGGTGTGATTATTTTCATTATTGCCACTTCTAGATAACGGCTATAATAATCTGTGATCACCAGCAAATAACCAACTGAAGGAAGATGTCCCATGAAATCTACTGCAATATCCATCCATGGAGCTTCAGGCATTTTTCTTCGCGACATTGGCTCGGGTAATGAAGCAGCTCCCACCACTTGCCATAAATGACATGATCTTACCATCTTTTCGGCAGCAGCATCAATACCTGGACACCAGATTTTTGAACGCAACTTTTGCTTCATGGCTACTATTCCAGGATGCCCTTCATGGGCTAAAGTTAAAGTTTTCGACCTCAAAGATTCTGGAATAATTATTCTTGTATTTCTCAGGAAAACATCTCCAACCAAAGAAATCTCACCTTCAATACTTTTGAATCTGATGAGTCGGTTTGGACAATTTACGGAAACGAGGCAGTGTTTAACTTCATTCAACTATCTCTATATCTTTTCTTGTTTCATCTCCAACTTCTTCCATAGTTAAAGCTGGTGGAAGGTAACACTTAGCTAAATGCAAAAATGGCTTCTCTTCTAGATTGCTGGACTTTTTGGCACCGGCAGTACAAAGTCGGGATAGTGGATCGGCTATATCGGATGTACCTGGGCGATATTTCACCTCAAATGCATATGATTGCAGCCGTAAAACCCATCGTTAGATTCGAGCACAAGGCCTGGAACGATAGCCGAATATAAACGGTAAAGGGCGATGATCAGTTATTAAACTGATTTTTTGTCCAGTGAGGAACGTACTGAAGCGTTCAACAGCCCATACAAGACTCAGAGCCTCTTTCTCAGTCTGAGAAAACCTCTTTTCAATAGCTGTCAAACTTCGGCTGGCAAAGCGAATAATCCTTGGACCTTCCAAAGTTCGGCAATCACCTCAATGGGATCCTTTGGAGAGTAATATCCAAGTGTGACAGCATTTGCAACGTCTTGCTTTAACTTTTGGAAAGCAGTATCCTCGGCAACATCCCATTTCCACTTCACATCATTTTTCGTAAGTTAGTGAAGAGGCTCTGATACCAGTGATAGATTTGGTATAAAACGATCAACAAAATTAACCAATCCCAGAAAGCTCCGGACCTCTCTCTTATTACGAGCAGCTCGGAATTTCAGGACGCCTTTGACTTTACTTTCGGATAACTTTAGTCCATTTGCTGTGATGTGGTGTCCGAGGAAGTCTAATTCTTAAACTCCAAGTATGCACTTCTTATCATTCAGAGTAAACCCTGCTCATTCAGCATCTGTAAGATTACTTTAAGTCGAGCTTCATGTTCCTGCTTAGCAGAAGCATATACCAAGATGTCATCCACAAATGAAAAACTACCCTTGCAGCCAGAAAGCACAGAATCAATATATTTCTGAAATATTTCAGGTTAAGACGTTAGTCCTTGGGGAAGCCTCATGAATTGGTACAGGCCCGTTGACACCCGTTGAAAAGTGGTAAAAGGTCGGCTTGACTCAGCGAATTCAAGGTGGTATAATGCATCCTTAAGGACGATTTTTGAAAATATTTTACTATTATACATTTTACTATTATTACTAATGTTGGTATTGGAGGTTTCATACTCAGAACTGCCTTATTTAAACATCGATAATCGACTGTGATCTGCACATCTCATGTACTTTTGATAATTGGAACTATTTGTGCACACCATCTTATGAGACCTTTAGCTGGTTCAATAATTCCCGCCTTAAGAAAGTCAGAAATTTTAGCCTCAACCTTCTTGCGGATAGCAACAGATGACCGGCGATATGGGAGATGAACCGGAATTTTTTTCAGGATCTACCTCAATGTGCACCTTAATTCCCTTCATGGAACTCATTTCCGTGCTAGAAGCCACCGCTTGAACTTGCAAACCAACCATTAAAACAAGTTTCTCAGCTACAGTCTTTCCTAGAATTGCCTCACCATTTCCATCAATCACGTAAATGTTGGTGGACTTTGATTTAGAGCCTATCTCAATTACTGATCTAAATTTATCAATAACCTTAAGAGCTGACTTACCTCCATAAACAAATAATTGTTGCTCACCCAAACGTAATTTATTTGATATTTTAGCGACACAACCTTTCTTCTTGAGTGATTCCCATGTCGCTCTGTCGATGACTGAGCATGAAGCTCCAGAATCTGTTCTCATCACTAGGTCCACACCTCCAATATTACAATGAACCAGGGTGTTTTCACTGCTGGAAAATTTGTCTGCAATATTTGCTGTATAAATTCTCCAACTTGTCAGACTGCTATCAGTGCTACTTGCATCTCTTATGTTAGAAGATGGACAATCGTTACAATTAACTGTTTTTATATGTCTATTAGATTTCTTGCGATTCTTTGTATCTTCAAAATCTTTCAAATTTCTCGATTTTGAACCTCCAGAACGATTTGACTTTGAACGGCAAGCTGAATCTAAGTGGAAGTGTCCGCCACATATTGAACAAGTAGAGGATCATTGGCAAGATGTCCTTTCTTATTGCAGCGGAAACATTTAGAATTATTATATTTATTTAAAGTCTTAGGGCCTTTGTGGGATTTGTCGTGCCCACCTTTATGAACAAAGTTAGCTTTACTTACTGATTTTTCTCCTTTCAAATCCTGAGAATGCATCTCTAGGGCCTCCAATGAATTCTCAAGGTCAGTGACATCTTTGAGAGTGATGTTGCTCTTCCGAAGGGCCTGCTTTTGAAATTCCGCTGAGGTGCAGGTGAAAATCAATTGATCTCTTAACTGATCGTCCTTATCAACAAATTCACATTTGATGGCCTGTGCACGCTAACGAACCAAATATTGTTCAATATTTTCGCTATTTTTCTGTTTTAAATTTCTAAAAAGGTAACGTTCATAATCAATATTTTTCTTGGGAGCAAAATGTTCAGTTAAGCTGTCGACACACAGTTTGTGACCTGCCTGGTCATATTCAAATTGTTCTGTCATTGTAGGTTTTCTGAGAGTTTCACCAATGGTTCTAATTTTTCTTTTGGGAAGGAGTGATCAATATCTTGTAAATCCGTACCTCCGCAATGTAATAAAAGGACCTTCTTTCTATCCCAACTCGTGATGTCTTTGGCTATAATGTACAGTTCAAACGCACGTATCCACCACGACCACGAACCTGCGTTGTTCACATTCAAAGCCGGTAAACCTGTTATGTTTACCATAGATTAGTTTTACCCGTCGCCAATTTGTAAGATTCCTATAATAATAAATCAATTTTCGATTTCAAAGTTTATTCAATATTTTATAATCATACAATTACCACACTCTCATATTTTTTATATTAGATCACATGTCTATTATACATAACCAGTGTTGCCCAGTCAGTGTTGTCTCTATGCTACACGTTTCTGTACCATCAGTGTGTAGGATACATTTTTGGCTTTAGTTACCCTCCGACATTCGTCATAGAACTACGGGGATCTCCTTTCGGAATCTTTAAATCCAAGGGTAGCCTCTGCTGTCTTGGTTATTGTTATGTCGAATGCAGGAAATCTTCAAATTGTAATTGAAAAAAGTAGAACGCTTCTCTTATAATATTTCTATTTGATCTTTATATTTTTACAATTGATTTTACTGTCATTAATTCAACAACAATATTCTATATCGATCTCTTCATGTTTTTAATCACGGGTGATCGATAGATACAAAAGTTATGACTGTTTCCAGACCGTTCCATGTATCCTGAGTATTATTCAAATTGACTGTGAGTAGTTCATCAGTCATTCTTCCATCAAGTCGTTTTTGAAAGGAAGTGAGCGTATCAGCTTCTTTCAGTTTCATTATCATTATTATTTATTTATTTACCTATTTGAAATCTTCAATCCAACGGCAACGATACTGATCTTTTTTGAGTAACAAAAAATGTAATTACTATTTCAGTTGATGTCAAACTATTAACTGAAGTTGTGATTGAATTTCCATTATTGATTCAATTTGAGTAAAATACTTGGTACTCTGTGCTCAGAGTAGCATTTGCCCATCTCTGCATGGCAGCGAAGTAGAAGGCATTTGTTCAAGAACGATCTGTAATCAAATGCCTTTGTTGAAATAATTTGTCAGTTTATCTGATAACGAACTTGTTATTAGATTTGATATGTGAACTTGTTGAACTGTCTTGCTAGCACTAGTGCCCGTTTCAGATTAATTGCTCTTTAGTGAAAATAATAGAAAGAAAGTATAGTTTTCATTTATCTTCAGTGCTAGTAATGGAGGCCAAAGCTGAAAGGTAGTTCATGTTTACTTATCATTCGTTTTTTAACTCTGTAATAGTATATTTACATCTGTCACAAGCAATGGACATTTAACGAATGTTATTTCATTACATATTAATAATTTAATCATACCAGAGATCTTTGTGAATTCTGTTAATAATTAATTGTTTTTAAAACGTCTACATTTTTGTTTGAATTATCTGATCATTTTTATGAAATTTACATTCTTATTATACTTATTAATAAGTTTATCACACTTCCTTTTTCTTCTATTTTTTAATTATGTGGAATATTATGCTTGAACAATTTCTATTTCTCATTTTATCCCAGAATGTTAAACTACAGAGTAGGTACTTTATTGCTAAACCTTCATCATTTCATCTACCAGAACCATAATACAAACTTAAAGAGTTTAAAAGAAAACAATAAAAATAATTAATGACCAAAATGACATTGTTATGTTTTGAAAATGAAATATATATAAAGAGACACTTATTAAACATCATAAAAATTAATTGTATGAATGTACCTAGACAACAAGAGAAATGAATCTTGAATCAAAATTAATCAAAATCTGGAGGGTACACAAGTTTTAGTTTAAGGAAATCCTCTGCTTGAGATTAAATCCCTATTTAAAAATAATAATGACCTATTTTATAATTATTAGTAATGAACTACTTTATACCTATTTTTTTTTACTGTTGGCATTACAGATCTTGTAGATTTTTTGCCGCTTTAACAAGTCAGCTCCTTCTCTGCCTATCTTGAGCTATTTCTTTCCAGTTATCTGCATGCAGCTCTGTTACATCTGTGTTAATTCTATCTATCCTTCTGCTTTTTGGCCTTACATGTGGTCTTTTGCCTACTATTGAGGCATTCATTGTTACATAGAGGCTTCCAGATAGATTGCTCTAAGCTATATGCCCAGACCATCTTAACCTCCGTGTCTTCTTATCGTACTTCAACTTTGAAAGCTTCAGATACTTCTCCTTGTAATAGGACTCGACATTTAGGGTCATTTGTACACGCCTTTGTCAATCTCATTAATCCTACTGGGAACTCCCAGTTCAGTCATGACTTTCCTAGTTATAAGAAATAATTATTAATTTTTTCAAATCAATAAGTTTAAAAATCTTTGTTTAATGGAGCCATAACACCTGTACGGCTTATCATGTGTTTAGGTCCATAAGTATGTCCCTTTAGGAGATGAAGTGGCAGTAAAGCTTTTCTTTTAGTTTAAAACTGGTTCTTGAAAATTATCTGCTTAATTCAGAAATAGATCAATGGCATAGAAAGTTTATATGAAACTAAATCAAATATGAATCACTTTTTATTCCATAGAACCTTCCTGTATCATTGGTTGCAAAGATTACTTGGGTCAGTTAAAGTACCAATTTGGTGGTATTGTCCAGTGCAGTAGATGGCAGTGATTGCTGCTAATTGAGTATTGCTTTAAGGAAATAAGGTGAAGCCTATTTCATTGACACTTATTAGCAGTCTAGCTAGAAAAAGAAAAATAACTTTATTCTGGGACGAAGTCCCTTAAGAATAACACATTGATACAGAAATAACACTCATGTATTTCATTTGATCTATATTTCCTTTAATATTTTGAACTGTCCACAATTTTTATATGGTAATTAATAGTTTTAAAATAATATTTTATACTGAAGACTTTTTTTACTTTCACTTCCCTATTTATGAAAATACTTATTTATACTCAAGGTAGAGTAGTAAATGATTTGTATGTTGATGATTAGTAAGTTCATTTTAACAGTGTTCATCTTCAATGATCTGTAATCATTGTCTTTCCCTTAGTCAGTTTGATCCTTCTCTACCCATGGGTGGATATTGACCTTTGAGCAGCTCTATAACATATACTCCTGATCATTCCATAACGTCTTGTTCTGTATGGGAAAAATCCTATATTTCCACACGGATTGATGAACCCTAAAGCTTTTTTTTTTTTATGGACTCAATTGAATAATTTCTGGATGATTTGGATGGATGCCTTCTAGCTTTCTCTCAAATCTAACGAACTATTCTATTTCTCCATTGCTGCATATTTCTAGAGTTCAGGAAATCTCCCCTTATTTACTCAATTTTGAGAAGGTATTGGCCAGAGCCTATTTCAAATTTCCTTTTAACTTTAACATCTATTATATCCTTTGGCCAATCACTTCTAAGAAATAGACAATGCTACACCTCCATTTTTCTATTGTAAACTTATTAATCTTTCGATTTAAGGAAATAAAGTTTTTAATTATCTATTTGTTTGTTGTACACAGTTTCAAAATCCTCTTACCATCATTTAAATCAACTTCTCCATGAATTTAAAAATCCTTCAGCCAGCATTCCTTATTGTTCATAACTCTTTCTTTTGAATTTCCTTATCTAATAGGTACATTAGGAATACCATAAATATCTCTTTGAAGTTCATTAAATGAAAGAAAAAGTCCTGGGAAGAATTTGGAAAAAATATGGAAACTAATTATAAGGAAAACCAGAAACTTTTCTACCAAAGCCTCAGGAGCATGAGGAAGCAGAAGGAACCGGTGCTGAAGCACATCAAGGACAAAAATGGAGACATGATGAGTAGGCCAGAAAACATTATGGAAAGATGGGCGGAATATTTCAAGGAATTACTCACATATCAAGAGCAGGAAATGAAAGCGAAACAACAGTCTAGCAGTACAGAAGACACCTGGGAAGAAGACGACTTCATCGAAGAAGAAGAAGTTGCCGAGGCCATAAACTCATTAAAGCTGGGAAAACCGGCTGGTATAGACGGAATTGCGCCAGAAATGCTGAAAAACGTGGGTTTAAAAGGAATTGAAATGTTGCAGCACCTCTTTAACGTAGTTTGGAAAAATAAAGTTATCCCAAAGGACTGGGAAGTCTCCATCATAATCCCGATTTTCAAGAAAGGAGATAATCGTGAATGTCGAAACCATCGAGGCATATCCCTACTCTGCATCCCCTACAAAGTTTATTGTGATATGCTCGAAAAGCGGTTGAGAAGCCTCATAGAACAAAAGATAGGGGAAGAACAATATGGCTTCCGGCCTAACAGAAGTACACAGGACCTAATATTCACGATGAGACAGATATCCGAGAAGATTATAGAAAAGAGCAGAGAGGTCTTCACCTGTTTTGTAGATCTAAATAAAGCGTTTGACAGGGTGCAGAAGGCAGATATATCAAGAGCATTGGAGGAGTGTGGCGTTCATATAGGATTGAGAAAAGCCATCCTAAGTATATATGAAACACAGAGAAATGTAGTTAGGATGTGCAACCACACATCAAAAGAATTCACGACAGACCAAGGAATCAAACAGGGATGCAGCCTTAGCCCCCTCTGGTTTATACTAGTGCTGGACTCTGCCCTAAAACAAGCAAAACAGAAAATGAGGCCATACAACTTTGGATATAGGAACCTACTGAGCGTCCAGTATACAGTGCTTGCTTTTGCTGACGATATGGTGGTGTTCAGAAATGACTGCCGTAATCTGCAGTTTAACCTCAAGATCCTTCAAGCTGAGATGAGAAATATAAACATGGAAATTAACATCTCGAAAACAAAATTCATGAGGATCGGGAGAAGAAGGGACTGAGGAGACCGGATCGTTCGGCTGGGTGGAATCCGCCTAGAAGAAGTTAAGGATTTTAAATACCTGGGCGCTCACCATAACGAGTTCGGATGGATGGATGGAGAAATTAAAGAGAGAATTAAGACGGCAGGAAGATGCTTTTACTCCCTCAAGTCAGGCTTCTTGGACAAAAAGGAAATCTCAAAGACCACTAAGAAAATTGTCTTTAAGAACATTTTCCTCCCTATATTGACGTATGCAAGCGAGTCTTGGACCCTCACTGCCAAGCACAAAAGCCAAATCCAAGCTATGGAAATGCGCTATCTAAGGAAAATAGAGGGGAAAACGAGAAGAGATCGCTTAAGGAACGTGACCATACGAGGTAATCTGGACCTGAGGCCTGCAGAGGAGATAATCCAAGAAAACCAACTTAGGTGGTTTGGACATATCTCACGAATGGTTAAAAGCAGAATTGCCTACGAGGTCAAAGTGGAGGGAAGGAGGACACAGGGAAGACCAAGAAAAAGATGGGAAGAAGGAGTTAAAGAAGCCTTTGACAGGAGAGGAATGGACTGGAGTAGGAGAAGACAGCTGGCACAGGATAGAGATTTGTGGATCAAGCTCTATAAGAAGGAACCTCACACTGCTCAGCGGTAACAGAGGACTGGATTAAGTTAAGTTAAGTTCATTAAATAATGTTTCATTCATCCGTGGTACTGTGCAGTCATATAGGTTCTATACAATAATATTTGTCCAATCCTTTTGTAATTTTCGTGGTCATAATCCTTGAATTCATGAATTTTCTGACTTAATTATTGCCTCAGTAATCTAAAGAAAATTGCTATCATATCATGTGTTATATTCTCTTCTTCTCCAACTCATGATAGAATTAGAATTGTTTCATTAAAATCATTTCCTCTCCTGTATCTTTTCTTCATATATGTAGAGAATTTTATTTTATTTTATTTTTTTTTTCATATTGGTTGTTATCTCCTGTTCTTTTTCCTTTTCAAGTATTATTCCATGTTTCCAATCGAATTTAACCATTTTCAACACTATATTGTTTACATTAATATCTATCTGTCCAATACTTAACGTATAAAAAAGTAAATTCTTTATTTTTTTACATATGTCTATTTATCATTCAAGAAAGATGAATAATATGAATTTCTTTCTTGTGTTAATATTTTAATCTTTCTTTCTTTCTTAGTGTGCCAACATATAGTATGGGAAACTTGACATATGAAGTTCCTGTGACATTATTTGTTGAAAATAGAAGAAGATTATTAGCTGAATTAAAGAGATTTGCACCAGAAGCAGCTGAAAGTTCTATAATATTTTTGGAAGGTGGAGTTCCTGTTAATCATTATAATACTGATACTGAGTATCCTTTTAAACAGGTATAATTTTGTTTTTCTTATCATTAGTTTATTTATTCTTTATATTTTGTTATGATATTTTTAATGTATTATTTATGATAAAAGGAGTGCTATGCTGGTTTAAAAAGGGTAAAATAATGAGCCAAAACAAGAATATTGTGGAGTATTACAGCCTTTCTATGTGAAATATAAAACTATTAGTACCAATTACTCCTCTGCTGTTCAACATTACTGTACAAATAATAGTTAAAAGGGCTAGACTAAACCAAGAAGGTATGATATTTACCCAAGATGATCCAAGTCTCTGCCTTACTCCATGGCGCTACAGCCCTACAAGGGCCTGGGCCTCCTCTACAATCCTGCTCCACTCTTCTCTATCCTGGGCGAGTCTTCTCCATCCTCTGATTCCCATCTCTCTCAACACTCTCTCCATTCCATCTGACCATCTTAATCGTGGACGTCCTCTAACTCTTTCTCCTCCAGGCTTACCATCCAGTCATTTTTTTGGTATCCTATTCATCGGCATCCGCTCTACATGTCCCAGCCACCTCAACTGATTCTTTCTAACAAAAGAAACCAGATCTGGTTCTTGGACCATTTCTTTCAGTTCCTCATTCTTTCATATTCTCCAGTTGCTGTTCTCGCAGACAGGTCCATATATTCTTCTGAGTACTTTCCTTTCCCAAACTTTTAACATTCTTTCACTTTCTTTGGAAAGTACCCAAGTCTCACAGCCATAGGATACAACTGGCCTAATGATTGTTTTATATAATATGACCTCAGCTCTGTTAGTCAAGCCCCTAAATTTTAATGGTTTTTGAAGAGCATAAAAGCACCTATTTCCAACAGCTACTCTTGCCTTAATTTCTTCTTGGTGTTCATTCTTTGATGTGACAAGAGCACCCAAATATTTAAACTGGTTTGCTATCCTGAAGGTGTGGCTTCCAAATTTAATCCTTTCTTCCATTCTTTCTGGTGGGTTTCTTGTTGACTTCATATATACAGTCTTTTCATCATTTACATGGAGGCCTAACTTTTTTGCAGCGTTTTCGAACTCCTCAAATGCTCCCAATAAAGATGCTCTTGATCTAGCCGATATTACCTCGTCATCTGCATAGGCTAGATGCTGTGACAATCTATTATATATCGTGCCATGGGGGCTTGTCCAAATAGCACGTATTGCATATTCTAAGGCTAGGTTGAAAAGAATTGGTGACTAGGGGTCTCCCTGCCTTAGGCCGTCCTCAACTGCAAACTTTTCTGATAGTGCTCCTTGTATCTTAACTTTACAACTATTATCAGTCAGTGTCATCCTTGTTAATCTCACTAACTTTTTCGGTACACCTAATGTGACCGTTGCTTTTAATAACTCACCTCTATTGACACTATCATAAGCCTGTTTAAAATCAATGAAAAGATGATGAAGATCTACATTATATTCATTGCATTTTTCCAACATCTGTTTGACGGAAAATATTAGGTCAATCGTAGATCTATTTGGCCTGAAACCGCATTGATACTCACCAAGAATACGTTCGGACCAGTCTCTGCCTATGTTGATGATTTAATTATTATCATGATATTTCATCAAAGGATAAGGAACTGTAGATGTAGAGGGAAAGAACATTATTCTGCATATATTAAGGGAAAAAAATAGTATGCTCAAAGACAGATAGTATGCTAAAATAAAATACCCTGATCAACATTTCAAGATTACTTTTTTTGTGATTATTTCAAGTAAGATGATACTTTTGGCCTAAATGTATTTTTATATTTATAAATCTGTACCACTACAACCAATGGAGGGTCTTGGGTTCAGTACTTTGTAAGGAAGTACAGTTTCAAGGCCAATAGTTGTGCAAAGAGGGGATTGGGTCAAGATCTCGCTCAAAAACCAGGTTTTCGTATGGTGCCCCGGGTGAGGAATATTTGTAAATGAAAATATTGTTAATGTCCGCCCATCATTTTCAGTGTTCCATTTTATTTTACATTTAAATTTAATTCCATGTTTTATTTAAATTTTTTTACATTAAATTATAGTTGATACAGAATTTAATTTGATTTCAATATTAATGGCATTCTATTAATTTTAACGCGATTTTAATATTAACGCCAATGTTATACTTAAAATACGTATTCTTGAACGGCGTAAGCAGGCATTGAGTATTGTCCCTAATACCATTTTAAAGAAACATTGGGCCGCCTAATTCCATAAAGCATGAATGTTATGCCTACTTTTGACTGTATTTCAAGCTTTTCCTTTTTACTTTCAATTACCTATATATGAAATATATAGTAAGGGTAAGTACTGCGATCATAAAAATTTTCAAATTTGGGTTTTTAACGGAAATACATCTTTTGAGGTCTCCTGAGTCCAAATAACCAAGTCCCGCAAAATGGTCTGTGTGTGTGTTAGCAGTCTAGCTCAAAAACGAAAAGTCGTAAGTAAGTAAAATTGCTTATTTAAGGTTTTTATATGCCTCAGATGTTACAGCAACTTTTTCCTTAAAATTAGCTAACCAGAAGTGCCACTTTATATCAACGATGAAACACATTTTTACAATTTTCTCAAAAAGGCTCTAATGATTTTGATTTAACTCAGTGTATCATTGTATAATTAAGTGGTCTTTAATATCATTTAGGTCTTATCTCCATTGATGTCACTTTACTGGGCTTAAATGCCCAATGTTCATGAACATTTTCCTCTAAAGTACCTTTAATATGGTTTATTAAAAAAAAATAATTCTATTTTATTGACAGTAACTTTAACAAATGGCTAAATATGAAGTTTGAAAGAATATGATAATCAAGACTATAGAATATAATCATTAAGACCATTAAAATTACAAAAAGTCCATTTATTATATCGACTGTAGGCAATAAAAATCTAGTTGTATAAACCACATAACTCCAGTCCCTGAGCCTTTCAGCTGACAGAATGACTAATTCCAATTTCAACATTCTTTATTATTAATTTTAGTTGTGGGTTGATGGTTGACTCATGAATAATGAAGAGAAGGATGGTTGGGGTGATCAGTCAGAAATAAAAGGCAAAAATATATAATAATATTTATTTTAACATTTGCCGATGTTTTGACCTGAAGTTCAAGCCTTCATCAGGGCTGAGAAAAGAACAAGATAACAAGGTATGAGAAACATAAACAACGTAGGTAAAAAAATTAAAGTAAAATGATTAAAAATTAAAGTAAATTCTTGTTATTGTCATTATTCTACCCACTTCATTTTACTTTAATTTTTTTACCTACATTGTTTATGTTTCTCATGCCTTATTATCTGGTTCTTTTCTTAGCCCTGATGAAGGCTTGATACAGTCCTTTCCTCATTACATTACTTTCTTAACGCTTTAATGGTCGCACATCTATGCAGTCAAATGCTGCCCAATAACTCTCATTGGGAGTGTAACAATAGCGTATATTGTTGTTCCACCCAGATTCAAATCTTTTTCAGTTTGTCTCACTTCTCTAATGGCATGTTGTAATGCCAAATTAAATTGGACAGGTGAAAGGAAATCATATTGTTTTAGGCCTAAACGAACCGATTCTAACTTTATTGAATATTTTTGGCATACGCCTACTAGATTCACTAATTTTTTTGGGATCCCCTGCTTAAATTGAATATTATACAGTTTCTGCCAGTCAATGGAATCATAAGCCTCTTATAAATCAATATAAAGCTGGTAAACAATGATATGACTAGTTAAGATTAAGATTATTGAGAATATTTGATAATATGCCAGAAGGAGTGAAATTCCTTGATAGTTATTATAACCCGTCCTCGGGCCCTTTTTGTGAATCGGAATAAGAATAAATTATTTCCATTTTTCTGGCAATATCTCATTCACCCATATCTTTTTAACCAGCAAATTTATTTTAGAAACTCCAGCTTACCCACATGCCTTAATTAGTTCACTATGAATGTAATCGGTACCTGCTGCTTTATAAGATTTTAATTTTCTGATAGCTATTTCAACTTCAAGGAAATAAATCATAAACTTCACCCTGATTAACAAAATAATTAGTGTATTAGGAGTTTAAGGTCATTGCTTTAATATTGCAATTATTAAAGTGTATGCGCCAACCAAAGATAAAGATGAAGAAGTGAAGGATGATTTCTTGGATTAAAATAACTAAATAACGTTAGAATAACTACAATGTACAACTTAATGACAATTGTCTGGCATTAGAAATGTTTAGGAATAAATTAAATTACATGGTTATCTAGATCTAAGATTACAATAAAAGAAAGGCACTGGTAGACATATGAAATAATAATAATCTTTTATTTATTCTGTGACGAATACCTTTAGAATAATTAACAAGGACAGAAATGTGGGCTTTTGAACCACAGATATATATATAAATGTATTTACAAAGTAAACTAATAGATAAAATAGAAAAAAAAAAAAGTTATCTTTTAAATTAAATTGATTAAGAAGAAAAAAATAAAATAAATTAAAGAATAATGAAATGAAAATAATTGAAAATAAACTAATGTTATATAATATATTTAAGTCTTCTTGAAGCTTTTTTGTGGCGGCTAATAGGCCAGAAGAGGGGAAGAACAGGTATATTTGGAAATCATCAGCATAGATTTGGTATTGGGTGTGATGGATCAGGAGGGAAAGGTCATTAATGTAAATAGTAAACATAGTAGGAGGTAAGGAGGAACCCTGAGGGACACTGCAGGAGAGGGAAAGTGTCTTTGAAGGAGGTTGATCTGGGACGATTACATACTGGGATCGATCGGTGTTTAGACAACTTTCCAAATTTAATTAAGGCAAGGCAAATAACTCTCATGAGTTCATATTAGGCAACATTAAACTTATTGGCAACATTCGAATAATTTATGCAGTGGACTATATTTTAATGAATTGTTAGGTCATATGAATTGTGCAAAAACTTAGCTATTTATGGTGGCTTAGACATCTTATTGTTACCTGAGGGTGCCCTCGGAGCAGCTGTTGTCTCTGGCTTGTTCTGAGATGGAATGGGCAGTCGTAC